ATATCCCACCCATCCCACCCCAGGGGAGGACATCCATCACACAGTAATCTCGTGTGTGGGAAATTAACATCTCCTCCCCCAACCCTGCAGGAGATGGGACCTCCATTTATTCCTCCCTATCCGAGAAGACTAGAATATCTAACCATTTCTTGATGTTATAGAAAGGTAGCAAATTCTTCTCAATGAATATAAAGACCTTGAGTGTTGGTCTGGCCGGGGTTCGAACCCTCGACCTCCCGCACTACAGTCCAGCGCTCTATCCTTTGAGCTAACTGGGAGGCGGTTAACCCATGCACAAGCATGCACGAATTATGCTATAAACTATGCTCAGTCAGGGATGCACAAATAAGAGGAATCGCCTCAAGTTTGATTAAGAAGGCATTCTTGGGACAACTTGATTTAATGAAGTAAGTGGAGAGTGTAAAGAAAGAGAGTTTATTTTTGGTAGGGTTGTACATTTCCTTTTCCATGTTGCCAGGTCTCAATCTTTGTTAGAAAGAAAGCTAGTGAAATTACAAAGTGGCATTTAAGAGAAGGGGTGTTAAATTATGTAAATAAATTATGGTCATGAATAGAAGAGTAACTTGCTTCATTTATTGTGGTGAGTGTACCAGTATCTATTGATGCACAATGTGACTAAATATTATTTTTTTGTTTCATAGAAGATGACCTGGAAGCTGCACTTGCAAAATGTGAAGAGGTTCTTTCCTCATTTCAAATTACATCTTCCAAAAATTGGGAAACACAGTTGTCTAATTTGAGCTGTAGTTGGGACAACATCAGGAAGCAGCTAATAGAGGCAGTCCTTAGCTGTGAGGGCCACCCCTCTCCAGACATTTGCAGCATTTGTTTGGAAGGCAAAGTCTGTATACAATGTATTTAGTGCCCAAAATAGTTTATGTGTCATAAAGGTTCACAAGTCTTTGCCTTTTCATGACACCGATGTGTAAATGCGAACTTTTATGCTATTCTCCGAACTGTTGGAGTTGATGGAAAAGGTTATCACCAAATAATAGGTGATCACAATACATCCGTTTTTTT